CACGGCTCAAGCTGGGGGACCATCACAATCAAAAATCACAATAACAACTCTCAAATTTTCAACAAACTCAACTTCCATATTGGATGAGGCTGTAGAGAGGGTGTAAGTAAACCAGCAGTTATCACTACCTTTCTTAGAAATGGCCAGACTGAGGACAGCACTGGTGGCCGAGATTCGACTGTTTCTGTTTACAGGGTGTTTGATCAATGGAATGTCCCAAGTGTGGGCTTGCTGTTCAGTGTGGGATGCACCCAAGTCGTCAGTGCTGAATCTTCCTCTATTATGCATACAAATTTGTCATCTAGTTACCTTATTGCCATGGCAACTGAACATGGAGTCAGCGATCATGTGGCTACGACTGTACATAGGACAGTTGAATAGTCGGTGAGGCATGCCTGTTTACACAACTGGGACCCACCCGCCTCCTGTCTCGTGTCAGCCAGTGTGCGATGACACACTACAATCTACAGCAAATAATCTCGAATCAATAACAACCGGAAAGCAACTTTCACCACAAAAATCATAACATACTATGACATTATATCCCTCTGGAAATTCAGTCGCTTACAGAAATCTTGCGGTTATAATTTCAATCATAATCCTGTAAAATTATTTCCAAATTAAACATTACATTCCCTGGAATATGAATCCCATAATGTTTTAGTTGGTCAGTGGAAATATTTGAACCAAAGTAATTTTTTTTAATTCTGACAAGATATGTTCCTTAAGCCAAAAAAACAGTGTGAAGAATTCTTTAATATATGATTTGATTCAACCAATCAAAACCTTTTCCTGATAATACCGTACATAATAAGGAATCTGCTTACTGTATCCTTGAACCGAATCCTCTGATATTTGCATACCATTTCGCCAATTTATATCGATATCTTGCATTTCCTCTGCATCAAGACAACATATAAAATTACAGTTTTCATTTTCACTTGTCGTATTGGCACTCAAAATTTCCTGCCAGAGATGCTAGAGCAATTTCATATGAAACTCTGGCCAGTAAAATGTCTGATGTGAACTCAAGGTCCGTCTGTGGCCGTAATGACATACTTCCTGTTTAAAACTAAGATAAAAAAATTTCCTCAAACAAAATTAAAATTTCACCTCCCAGGCCAAACAACATCATTTGGTCTTGCTAAGGAATGCCAACTGACCTCGATATAACCACTTGACTACCATCACCCTATAAGCCCCTTCCAAAAAACAGTACCAACTTGCATATATTCCACCAAATACATTCATAAGAGGGATGACAGACGTGGCTGTGATGATACAGTATTTAATCCCCAGTTGAATGTCTCCCAGTAGTGCTGGTATAGCGAGGGGGTGCTGTACTGTGCTGGCACAGGAGTGTAAACAAGCTGACTTCTCTGTCTCTCTATACATATGACCTTTGGGCCTCTCCACAGCCTTGCAACACAAAGATACCTAACATGTATAGCAGAAACATGACAGAATGCATTACTACAACAATAAGGAGAAATAAATATGCACTTTCATTTCATTTTTTAAATTTGACAGAAAATAATTGATATATTGCCCTCCCCAAATATTGACCTCGGTGTGATAATGCAGGTCAAAAGAGCTTGTTTATGGTCACTGGCTGCACCTCAGGTGAGAAGTAGGGACAGACTCACAGTGTCAGCCTTGACCTACGACATTGGAAGGTGACCAATTCACACTAATATTCTAGACTCTAAAACATGCTGGGCAGCCACGACCAATACTTTGACCAACTCAATTTAATACCTCTGTTAATATTTTACATATTTTTTTTAAACTGTTTCTGCTGCAGAAAACAATTTACCTAATTGTGAGGGAAAACATTCACCTAGGGTTCCTCCAACTTTAAATCACAAGATAACATGATACAAATGAACTTTTTCCTGGACTATAATTGGATATGAAACTCACTTTTGAACTTTTAATAAATATGTTTGGTAGACATAATAAAACAAACATAATCATCAGATTTTGCTGAAAGAGTGTATCATGTTTCCTATAATGCTTAGTGGAGTGAAGGACGATGGAGTGGAATCTCCAAGACACTGTCAGCAACCACTCCACCTTCAGGAACAAGAACAAGATGGGCGCCTGCAGACAGCTTTCCCCTGGAGAGACCAGCAACACTACAACTTGGATTTGGGAGAATCAGATGATGGACACTTCAGGACCACCAGTACGAGAACAAAGAGATCATTAGTGGTGTTCCGATTAATTGAAATAATCGAAGATTGATCAAGGTCCATATGACAGAGCTATTCAATACAATTTTCTATAATCGAACAGAAACAACTTTGCCCTGTTAACTTAAGATAGTTGTAAATACACCATCTCAGTAAACAAATATACTTAAAAGCTGGAAAGTATGAAGCCAGTTTCCTTTAATGCTGCATCAATTATTTTTGTCCCGAGTTTGTTAGGTGTTGTCTAGGACAGCATCGATGAGGAGCATATATGTTTAATGAATATAGCGTAGCAAACATAACATTTCTTCCTGCTTACTTTGTTTAATATCAAGGAATTAAAATAACATGTCAAAATATTGCTTGGGTTGAAAGATTTCAATAATTCTTGTACACCCCCCCCAAAAAAAGCTGTTTATTGCCTTTCTGACAATACCATAATGGCCTTCGCAAAATGACACAAGATACTCACCAATATGGCTGGTATATATTCCATTTTGCATGTCTCATTTTGATAAACAATAAACCATTTAAAAGAAAAAATCCCTAATGAAACATGTTCGTATTTTTTATTCTAGTGATGATCACACATAACTGATCTAGTTTTACTGAACTTTGATGATCGATCAGTTGGGATCATCCAATGATCATGATTTCACAACTCCTTCACAATGTTAAAGTGGCTAGCAGCAAACTTATGAGTGAGTGAGTGAGTTGGGTTTTACGCCGCTTTTAGCAATATTCCAGCAATATCACGGCGGGGGACACCATAAATGGGCTTCACACATTGTGCCCATGTGGGGATTCGAACCCGGGCCTGGAGTGAGTGTGACGAAAGCAGACGCTTTTAACCATTAGGCTACCCCACCGCCCCGCAAACTGATGGAAGCTTCAACACTAATAATACCTGGTGGCTAAGATAAGCTAAGATTTGATTAGCTAGAACTTGGTAACGAGAAAAGTGAACATGGTAGTAAGATATGTCAAAGCCAGCAATACTTGAACCAAGACTTGAGACAGAAAATATCCTCACTCACTCAAAGCGCTGAGTATCCATGGAGATTTTCTCAACCAATAAAAGACATAAGCAAAACCATTCTCAACCAACAAAGATAACACCTTTTCAAGCAACAAAGATTTCTTGCAAAACCCTTCTCAAGTAACAAGAAAAGTATGTAAAACCCGTATTTAGCAAGAAAAAGAGCCAGAATGTATTCAAGTAACAAGCCGAACAGTCCAAACCTTTCTAAGTAACAAAAGATGTATGAAAAACACTCCTAAACTACGAAATGAGAGAGAACCTTTTAAAGTAACAAGCTTCACAAGTAACAAAAGATATATACAAAACCAATTCTCAACCAACAAGAATAGGAGCCAAAAACCTTTTCAAGTAACAAACAAAGCAGGAAAACCCCTCTGAAGAGAAGAAATAGGAGAGAGGATGTTTAAGGGCAGAGAAATAGATGCTCTCTTATGACAAGTGGCTTCTGATGCCCCAAACCAATATTACAGCTATATTTTAGTGGCTTGAAGGTGAAGTTAGATCCATCACCAGTGGTCAATCATTTAAGCGAAAAAGCATGGAGCCATGATGTGGTTTACAAGATCAATCAATAGGTCAGCCATTGTGGCTCAAAACAGAAACAGTGAGTTGGATCAAATGCAGCTTTGAACAGTATTCCAGTGACATCATGGAGCCATGCGACAGTCAATAGGAAGAAAGCTTGAGTGAGTGAGTATGGCTTTACACAGAAGTGGGAGTGAGTATGGTTTTTCACACATTGTACCCATGTGGAGAATCGAACCAGTGTCTTCGGCATGATTTGCGGACATTTTAACCACTAGGCTACTCCACCACCTCCAAAGAAAGTTTGAAATGATGACGTCCCGTATGTTTACCTCTTTGGGAGAACAGAGTGAGTGAGTATTGTTTACAAGGCTTTTAGCAATATTCCAGCAATATCAGAGCGGGGGACACTAGAAATTGGCTTCACTCATTATACCCATGTGGGGAATCGAACTGCCAAGTCTTCAGCTGCTAGAATTCTTAACTTTGATTGTAACCAATGTGTTAAGAATGGGCTTATGTGCCAGAACCACTAGGCTACCCAGCCCCCTTGGGAGAACAGACAATGAAGACCTTTTATAGGTAGTCTTATCAGAGGCACTAAACTGATAGACCTGGAAGCTGTCTTTAAGTCTTATTGACAGAAACAACAGATGTGAGGCAGGATTCTGAAGTCATTTCTTATCAAGTAAGATGGGTCAAACAAAATGGCCACCTTGATTGGAGAATCCAAGGAACGAATGAGGTGATAATCTCGGCTTCGAACCTATGACCAGCAGCTTAACAACTGCACAGCGAGGTGTTGCACCGAACCAACTAGGACATATGTGTTGCCTTTTATCAAGGAAAGGATTAACAGTGTTATACCATGGGTCAAATCATGATGCACGAAATATACTTACCTGTACTGATCAACTGCTTAATCTTACACTGATACATCTTTTAATCACGCATCAGACATGTTGGAAAAAACTGTTCTCTGTATATTTCTCTAACGTGATCGGGTGGTCAGACTTGCTGACTTGGTTGACACATGTCATCGTATCCCAATTCTGTAGAGCGATGTTCATGCTGTTGATCACTTGATGGTCTGGTCCAGACTCAGGTTAAATACAGACTGCTGCCAAATAGCTGGAATATTGCTGACAGCAGCGTTAAACAACAAACAATAAGATATTTATGAACCCCCAAGATTCCGATGTTATGTTTTGCAAGAGAAATAACAAAATTGTACTCACCGGCGCTATACCATTTACACTGTACCCTGAATTTACAAAACCCTGAAAAGACAGAAAACAATAATTAGTTAAAGTTCATGAATTATAGAAAATCAATAAGTAAGCATTTCCAAAGTGCCACAAATCTATCCAAAAAGACTGAAAATAAAGCCTCTTTTTAAAATCAAATAAGTTGAGTAAATATTGCATTTCACCACATCAGCGATTTTTTAGCAGTGAAACATTGTCTGACAATATGAAAACATAAGAGACATAATAAAGTCACTGAAACCTTGGACAAACATCATATTCAAGTGTAAATATACAATCAAATATTAAACTGGTATCACAATATCATATATATTAAAGTGAATTTCTGAAATAAAACACCCTGAAACTGGAAAATTTAATACAAAAAGGAAATTCCTCCCCAAGGCATTCGAGGCGAAACAAGACTGACAATTGAAACTGAAGAAGTATATTCCCACAATTATTGAATCAAAGTAATAACTGTCTTTTGTTATAGGTCAATTACAATGAATAAATTATGCATGTATAAAAATAATAAAACTGCAAGGAGACCCTGTGATTGGCTACCGAAGCAATTTTTGCAGGTTTGTGTTTCCATACACCACCCAGATATAAAGAAGCACCCCTAAACCACACTACTGATTCCTGATTGGTCGCTGGCAGAATGGGCGGGGCCTGTGTTACATCCTTGCACGGAACGATGTCAATGAGTCTGGTGTTTCTTCAGCTTTTTTTAGTATGCTAATGATTACATAAGCAATCTTTGAAGTTCCCACTATTTCATAAAAACAATACTATTTATTCATAAAAAATTACCTCAAAACATTTTGGTGTTGATAAAGGCATAAACACCAAACCAGTGTACATACTGTGTAATTCTGTTTTGCCGACTTACACAATGTACATTGTTTAAGAGCAAAATATATTGGAGTCAATTCTTAAATAAATAACTGAGGTGATCCATGATGCATTTCCATTTGCTGTTTCCTTGTAAATATTTCATTACAAAAGAGAAGAGTTATATTATTCATTATCTTTTCCTATAATCTTCTTAATTAGTTCAAAATAATTTTTTTGTTTACATTATCTTACTGCAAGATTTCAATCGAGTCAAAGAATATAACATTAAAAATTTAATACACTCTTAATTTTGATTATTAATGAATTCATTATAAAGAATCATATTGAAACAGTAAACCTAACTCATTTTGGACTAGTTGATAGTAGGTAAAGAAAAACAGCACTTTAGTTGTCTCTCGAAAATACTGACAATCAATTTCTTGGTCTGTGGGTTAGTTTTGGTTATTTCTACAGATTTTTAAAATTTCACCAGATCAGTCCTTGGAATACCTCAACATTGTTCGGTTGCCATAGCAACTACTGATCTGTATCTGGCCCTACACACTGGTCTCCAGAAGAAAACAAGTCATCAGCCCTGGATCAGTCCACTTCACAACCAAGGGGGTGTCAGCATAGCTCCTAACCATCCTAATGCTTATTGAAAATTTATGAATCAACACATCTCTGTATTTGGGATACCAACATTGATTGGAGTATTCTGACTTAATGTGTGCAGCCATGACAGGATTGGATTTACATAAGAAAGACAGCAAGTGGTTTCTTAGGTGGGAGGCTTCATCTGGTGCACCCCTCACCTCCAACATTGCTGGAGTAACATGATGTATTGAGGTGCCCAAACACCCAGCCTGCTCCAACCTTTCCACTCAATACAAGTCACAATTTCACATACTCACAATATTCACTTTCATGAATTTTCACTATACCCAATTTTACTACATTTACAGATTTCTTATGGATTGTTGTTTAGCATACCTCAAGCAAAAATTAATACATCTGTTGTTATTTAACCAATACCGCCCATCGATGTTGCAAATAAAACATTGATGTTAGTAACAAACATTTCTCAAAGTGCTCTGCACAAAATAACAATGATTTACATGTATTTGTTTAATATAAATAAATCTATAGTGAAATGACAGCCAAGATATTTAAACATAATTGAAATATTTAATTCTTAAATCTATATTTATCTTTATGAAAATGGGAAAAGTTGCAACAGAGCGGGATGGGAAAAGTGCATGATGGGAGGAGAGCGATTCTCCCCTCGTCCTCGAGCTGACCAGCCTGCAACAAAGGCAATGTAGTAATGACCAAGCTGTCCGATGATTCAGTCCAGATCAATGAAGCTGGTTGAGGGGCCATCTACACTGTACGGTTATACCACAGAGGAAGAAGGGGAGAGAGCAGCACATAGGGACTTCACAAGTGCTGCATGGAATACTTAGAACCAATGCTTCCACAGTTGCAGCTGGCCAAGTTATTAAATATTCGTAGACCAATATCATCTTTTTGGAAGATCCTCACTTAATTCTGCACTAAAAAAGATGGTTCAGAACATTATGCTTTTTAGTGGTTATCCTTGAGAAACATATAAAATTTTAAGAGGAATTCAAAACAACTTCATAATTTTGAAATAACATTCTCACAATAATATTCTGCATTATTTGTTTACATGGATTGTAAGACAACTTAAAAAAAAATAATTTAATGTTTGCATACCGGCCTAAAACATTTATCACCTTGTATTCAGGTGGTTTGCAATGGAAAGTCCAAAGTACAGTCAACAGTAAAGTCACGGACAGCCAGGACTGAAGAAATAATTAACATGGTAAACTCTTATTCCCTGAAAATTTCACAACACAGCTTAAATAGACTTTCAAAGATCACTACTTGTTTGTGCCCCTGAGTCAATGTCAGCCATTCAATGTTATTTTCAACAAAATGACCCCAGAGACACATATTTTTACTGGGACAGAGTTCAATGACAAACTGCCGTGATATAACCATCATTTGACTTCAAATTGGGATCAGAAACTACAGAAAGCTAGTTTTTCCTGTAAGTACTTTTATCTGATGATAAACCTGAAACTATTTACCTAACAACTGATACAGGTTGTTTGCATGACCTTCCAGTTACAATGTACTTACATTCTGCAATTTCCCTGTTTTTACAAAACAAATTGATGTTTCACAGGCATACGTAACATGTTCAATATGTTTTCAGTTATATAAAGACATGCATGTTTTATAGTGGTTCCATGCTGCACTTTAAGAATGAGTGAGTATGGTTTTACGCCACTGTTAGCAATATTCCAGCAATATCATGGTGGGGCACACCAGAAATGAATGGGGAAATCGAACCCGGGCGTTCGACGTGACAAATGAATGCTTTAACCACTAGTCTAATTCACCACCCTGTACTTTAAGAAGGATAACCCTCTGATACATAATGAAGACTCAAAGCCAACCAGTCTAGGTGACGCCCCTCTGATGGCTAGAAACCCGTGAAGGTCCGGGTTAGAATATTGATCTTCAGTAACCCATGCTTGTCGTAAGAGGCGACTAATGGGATCGGGTGATCAGGCTCGCTAACTTGGTTGACACATGTCATAGGTTCCCAATTGCAGAGATCGATGCTCATGCCGTTGATCACTGGATTGTCTGGTCCAGACTCGATTATTTACAGGCCGCCGCCATATAGCTGGAATATTGCTGAGTGCGGCGTAAAACTTAACTCACTCACTCACTGATGGCTGGAATCAAGCAGGAGGACAACCAGTACCATCTTCTGCGACAATACAGCCAGTGGATTGAACTAAAGACCTCTGTGAAGACTCTCCATCCTCAAACCCATGGATGCTGTCTACAAATCTTGGACCCCAAAAAACTTATTTGTGTTTACTGTATCTGATGAAACGCAAACACAAAATTAGGCTAAAATGCTTCATCAGTTATCATCTCCTAAGCATACAGCACATAGCTCTCGTACAAATCTGTGTGCTGAAGATTATCTTAATCTCAAACATCTTTGTTTTTTGTCAGGTAACAATAAAAATCATCGACTTCCCCTTACATATGTCAAGACATGCACAGACACAGGGCATAACAATGACCTTGGTACATATTGTTCAGTACACACCAGTCCTGTTTACACTGGGGTCATGTTAACAAGAATTCCCACCTGGGCGGTCTGTGGGTGTGAGGTTGACCTCTAGGCCAGCCCACTTCTCAGTTTACAGGTTCAGCCCATCAGGACAAAATACCACTGCCTGCATGACTGACCACTGAGCCAGACAACCCTGTTCTCAAGCATGTGACAAGCCACTGGACAGTAATGACCAGTCAATTATTTCCTGCTCTTGTCTTGAGGATGTCCAGTAAGAATATGGAAGTGGACAGCACATTTCCTGCCTCTCTAATAAGTACTGCTTAGTCCTGTAGGTCAATTCTCACCAATACATCTGTCTGTCATCCACTGTTCCTGTTTCATAATCCTCCAGTCATGGTCTGTTACCCTATAACAGTCTGTCCCAAGCTAAATTCATCCCTAGTCATGGTCCATTGGAACCAAGCCTGTCCCTAGGGTAGACCTCTACTAGCCATGGTCTGATGGATTTAAGCATGAGTATCTTGCCTTGTAACCAAGATGTCCGAAGCAAGAATAACCCCAACACATATCCTGTTGTACAAATTAAGATGTCCCAGGCATGGAAGTCGTCCCTGTATGTAGAGTTGTCCCTGTACGTAGTCTGTCCTAAGAATGGGAATCGTCAGTGTGTAGTCTGCCCGAAGAATGGGAGTCATCCCAGTTTGTAATCTGTCACAAGAAAAAAAGTTATCCCTGTGTGTAGTCTGCCCCAAGAATGGGAATCGTCCCTTTGTGTAGTCAGTCCCAAAACTTGGAAAACGTCCCGTTGCGTAGTCTGTCCGAAGAATGGGAATCGTCCCTTTGTGTAGTCGGTCCCAAACTTGGAAAATGTCCAATTGCGTAGTCTGTCCCAAATTTGGAAGCCGTCCCTCGAGTAGTCTGTCCTAAGCATGGACAACACAACTGGGCATGGCTTCTATAAGTCTGTGTGAATGTCTCTGATCACATCACAAGATGACTTCACTTCCGTGAATGACCCTTTATCAAATGTCCAAGAACAATCACTTAGCTACTAAAACATGCAATCTTGTATTTGCTGACCTCACAGATACAGAACCACCATGTCTGTGTAGGTGGCACCACTTCTGCCCGTTCGTGATGTGCTCTCGTCAATCTGATCAATGTTATCACCATCATTAGGGATGACAGTATTGATCTGGTGACAACAGATGTACACGACATGAAGAAGTGTGACTGTCCAAGGCCATATATAAGATGAAGCTGGTCATGAGTGAGTGAGTTTGGTTTTACGCCGCTTTTGGCATTCCGGCAATGTTGTGCCAGAAATGGGCTTCACAAATTATGCCCATGTGGGGAATCGAACCCAGGCCTTCGGCATGATGAGTGAACACTTTAACCACTTGGCTACCCCACCGCTTCTAGTTCAGCATGAAATCCAGTTCACAAGAACCACAGATAACCAGAAGAAAGATTCAAGTTTTGTTTGTCAGTGAGCTTTGGTCTATAAAAAAATATGTTCTGTTGATTTGATGGGACATGAACATAAAGAATTCAACTTATGACACTTTTCAAAAGAAAGTTAAAAGTAGTTCATAGAAATTCTGTAACTCTACAGTGAAACATATTAACAAAGACAATTTGATCACATTAGACGTGACCAATGAACTTTATTTAACAAAAAGAATCAAATTCTTTCAGAATGTTATAGCATTTGAACATTATACTGTGCATCATTTTTCTGAAGACGTCCTCTAACCAAAATAAAAAGTACCAAAATCTCCTGAAATATATCACAGAATGTACATTATCTCCCACTTCCTGAACAAGACTCTTGCACGCAAGTGTGAGATATCACTGGTAGGTAGGTGATTTTTTCCCCCCTGTCATAGGCCTTAAATAATCAATACTAGAGACATCCTACATGCCAGGGCTACACAATCAACTGGTAATGTATACAGTAACCAGTTCCGCTCTCTCTGCAGGTCCCCCTTGCTACAGGATCCACAGATGCCCTCCGTATATTGGACCTACAGGTGCGCTTCGTAGCAGGATCTGCACGTGCCTTTGGGTTAGGGATCTGCAGGTGCCCTTCGTGGCAGGACCTTTCATGTGCCTTTGGTGTAGGGATCTGTAGGTGTCCTTCATGGCAGGGATCTGCAGGTGCCCTTCATGGCAGGACCTTTCATGTGCCTTTGGTGTCGGGATCTGTAGGTGTCCTTCATGGCAGGACCTGCATGTGCCTTTGGTGTAGGGATCTGCAGGTGCCCTTCATGGCAGGACCTTTCATGTGCCTTTGGTGTAGGGATCTGCAGGTGCCCTTCATGGCAGGATCTGCAGGTGTTTTTCATGGCAGGATCTGCAGGTGTTTTTCATGGCAGGATCTGCAGGTGAACTTCCTAATGAGATCTGCAGGTGCCTTTAATTTAGAGCAGGATCTGCAGGTGCCCTTAATAGCAAAACCAACAGGTGCTTTACATACTTTGACCTGCATGGTCCTTCTCAGTAAATTAGGTGTTTCAAGTAGGAATGTCAGCTGAGATATGAAGCAGCTTTTTCATGTGTCCTTCGCGGAGTGATCAGTAGGTGCTTTCCAGCATGATCTTCAAGCATCCCTTGGGGGGATCTGCATCTCCTGTAAGATCTGCAGGTGTCCCTTTTGAGATCTACATGAGACCCCCAGAATAATGGACATATATCTCCCAGTTATTCATGCAAGTGTCCCATGAAGCATAATCATACAGATGCCCCTCGTAATATCATTTACATAAGCCAACAAGCATTAAGAGCTTGTTCCTCTTGATACAAGTATGTTGGAAAGCCAATTATGAGTGAGGGCACTTTTAGTACTATTTCAGCACTATCATGGCGGGGTACACCTATGTGGGGAATCCAACCCATGCCTTCGGCGTGACAAGACAACACTTCAACCACAAGGCTACCCCACCACCCCCAAAAAGATAATAGACTCAATTCATGCTAAATTATTCAATATAATGTTCATATTGATGTCTTTCAAATTTGGTGTCAAAACCCAACATTTTCCAATGGACCACAATATGGACATTTACCACTTAAATATGAACAATCATTCCCAACTGCTCTGATATTTAGAAGGTTCATGGTTTTAACTACACTATAGGGAAGCCAAGACAAAAATGTGTAGAATATTTCTATATGATCTGTGTGACACACGCACATTGCTTGACTTTTGTCTCCACCAACCCCAGCTGTTTCCCTTGCATCTGACATAGATGTGCATCATTTTTAAACCACTGCGGTTGTGATTGTCAACAGCAGCCATCGAACCAGACAACTGATAACAGTTACAAGAGGAACGTTTCAGAAGACTGACTGACTGACTGACTGACTGACTGAGTTTGGTTTTACGCCGCTTTTAGCAATATTCCAGCAACATCACGGCAGGGGGACACCAGAAATGGGCTTCACACATTGTACCCATGTGGGGATTCGAATCCGGGTTTTCGGCGTGACGAGCCAACGCTTTAACCACTGGGCTACCCCACCGCCCCCGTTTCAGAAGAACAACCAAGATGATAATACCACTGTACTTCATATCTCCATTCGCATTAACATAATTTTGTCTTACTTAACCTCATTCAAAATTTCAAAGATACACTTCTAAGGTTTTGTCATTACAAATTCACGCAGTGTTCCAGAAACAAGTCACGCAGGACAAGTAGAATTTTGTATGTTTCTGTGTGGCCTGGTTAACCTCAAAAGTACATTCCTAACTGAGTCATCATAATGAATGTTATTTTATATCAGGACATACCAAATCTTACCTGCACAAATTGTCCAAGTCTGGCACCTGCCTTGACTTTGACAGTGAAGCTACAGCCTGACACATCAGGGGAGGCCACAGCCTGTCCATTATCTGGGGCCGTCAGTCAGTCCAATGTCTGGGGAGGCAATGGTCCATCCCATGTCTAGGGAGGTCATGGTCCGCCTGAAGCCTGGGGAGGCCATGGTCAGTCTGATGTCTGGGGAGGCCATGGTCAGTCTGATGTCTGGGAGGCCATGGTCAGTCAATGTCTGGGGAGGCCATGGTCCATACAAAGTGTGAGGAGGCCATGGTCCTTCCAATGTCTGGGAAGGCCATGTCTGTCCCATATCTAGGGAGGCCATTGGTCCATCCAATGTCTGGGAGGCCATGTCTGGTGAGAGGCCATTTTCTCATAATTCCTCTGGGAGGCCATGATCTTTGGGAGGCCATCTGTCCCACAGCAGGGGAGGCTATGGCCTTAACTACACCTCTATAAGCCAAGTCCGTCCATGGTTGGACATGATCTGTTGAACTAATAGGGAGGCCAGTCTACATGGCTGTGGAGGCCACACAACCAGTCATTCTTAAAGCATAAGCTTCTTACAGATACTAAACAAAAGAATCATACTCACATAATCATGAAATGCTTTAGCTTCACTAGAATGATCACATGTTTCTCTCCTCTCTGGCGCGGCACAATATAGATCCCAAAACACACTGAAACATAAACAACATGGTACTGAGTACACAACAACTCAAATATGTCAATCAAACATCTCACCAATGACAGCTCAGCACAGAAACAATCAACACACTTTAGTACAGCGCAATCTGTCACCTAGCCTCAAGACAAAACACATCATGCAAGCAGTATATAATTCCATCAACACCAGACAATATATTCAACATACACAACCGGTCAATATTCAAGATATACAACACTAAGCATATACCAACAGGGTTCAAGGTGGTTCTGTTGGATACAAATTATTTTTACTCCATTACCATTCACATTGGGTATTCTTATTTGTTTGCTGTTTAACACTGCACTCAATAATATTCCAGCTATATGACATTGGTCTGTAAAGTATCAAGTCTCGACCAGAAATCAAGTGATCAACATCATGAGCATCGATCTATGCAAATGGTATACAATGACATGTGTCAACAAAATCAGCGACTTTGACCACCCAATCCTGTTAGTCGGCTGTTATGACAAGCATGGGTTGCTGAAGGCCAATTTCTAACCCTCGTGGGTATTCTTAAAGAACCACTAAACTTTGTTTTTGTTACTCTTTTAACCATTACATATGAAAGATTTGTGGTTAGTCTTATGCGGAACACCAAATTTATTCTTTGAAAACTTGTGGTTAATTAATACCGAAGCATTAAAAGTGGCCAAAAGTCGCCTGCTTCCCTCTCACCAACGCCAACGAAAACCACAGACAGGTTACGAACTCTGTCGCCAGAGCACTGCAGTGACGCCATATGAGGAACGCATTTTCAGTTAGTTGTATAGAAAGTGTGTAGCACGCCATCATTTTGATGATTTTCGACATCAACGCATTTTACATGCCGAATCGCTGCTTTGTCGCCAATTGCTCCTAGGGTCGGGTGATGGTGTCACCATGCACAGATTTCCACAGGACCCCGCAGTTCGCGGCTAAATGGGTTATGTTTGTGAGAGCGGTTTAGCTGTGGAAGCCTGAAATGATATCTTACTTGTGTTCAGATCGCTTCACGGAAGTTAAAGAATCAAAACTACTTACTAGTTATAGTAAAATATGTATATGATTGATGACCATAAAGATTCTCCATAACACAACTTGTAACATAACGGTTTCTTTCCTCGGAAGTGAGGTTGTGGTCAAGCAACAATAATATTGTAAGTAGTATTATATTGACACCCACCTCGCCTGCCGGAGAGAAATTGTTATGTTATAATGCTATGTCATGCAAAATCCTATTGGCCATCAATAAAATACATATTTTATTACTAGTAGTAGTAGTTTTGATTTTGTAACTCGGTGAAAACAAACCTAAATAGCATTTATCCACAGACTGGCGGATGTTCCCACAGACAGGGTCACGCATTTTTGAAAATCGTGAAAGTCTGTTAGAATTAATGAGATTATAGTTTGTTTTCATCAAGTTAGAAAATCAAAACTACTTCTACTCAGAAGTTAAATATGTATTGGAATCATAACCAAAAGGATTTTGCATGACACAACTTATAACATAACGATTACTTCCACGGAAGCGCAGGTGGGGTCGGTCACAATACTTAAGCTGATAAATTTCTTGCTACATTCACATGGTTAATGTCCACTCACCAGTATGTAGATACTAGTCAATGTGCTGCCTTTATATTTGGTCTTATAATCCTAATTAGTTTATTATCATACTTTTATGCATATTGAAACTAAATAAAAAGCTGACGATCTGCTGATACTTATAGTGAATTTATAACAGAACTGTAATATCTCGACATTTTATAGTTTGCCAATGTGAATCATAATTTGCACACACACCCTAGTGTATGTTGTCTGTCTCATTACACTTCACGGCTTTAAAACAATGATTCTGTTGAATGCTACGACAAATGAATAAAAAACAAAATGTAAATATTAAAATTAAAACAGATTAAAGTTATAGGAACAATATCAGGCCATTACCTTGTTTGAGGAATGTATCCATCAATATCCACAAAACTGTTCCAAATGATGTGTCTTTTAACAGTTTAATATACCTAAAAGTGATAAATCTTTTCAGGTATTGGTGTATAGTCTCATTGGTCACCCAAGATAGCACACCTGGCAACCAATTGCATAATGTCCGCCTTTCATTAAAAACAGTAATTTAGTTAGCCAATAATGGGCAATCAATCAATGTATTGCCGGTTAATCCTTTGAAAGAAGGACGCTTGTTTTTACGCAGACACCGCATTAACGGCAGAGTGTATTCAGTATAGATTAGTAAATCTACATACATAAACACAACCTTTGACAATTCCGCTGTGTAAGATAAAAGTAATTAATCAATCAGCTGTTATCGGTTAATCCTTTGATCGATGTTTATAATGTTGAATATTTACTCCAGACACAAGAAATGCCAAATGGGAACCTTTGTCGGTAATCTAAGTGTGTTACCACTAATTACACCTGTTATAATTTCATTAACTGACCATCAAGTGAATGATGACAAATAACATGTGTAGGTTTATACCACCTAACACGGGTTACAACAAAGGAGTATTAATTGCTGTATTGCATGTGAAAACTTATGGGTCGACACTGTTTTGAGAATACAAACAGATTTTTACATGACATGATTAAATATCGAGGTAAAAAAACACAGAAAAGGGATCAAATTGGATCAGTCATTATACAAATAGGGCCTAACGACACCAATCAATTGTGACAGAAGCGCCTATGAAAACAAGTTGTAACTCGAAACTAGGCAAAGCAGGAGACAAAATTAAATGCCAGTAGATTGTGAGAACATATAGCTTTCATTTTCCACAACAATTGTTACGATTTCAGGTTTATACAAGCCTGTAAACAAGATAATTTACCCCTAAAATGTAGATGAATTCTGCATCGGCCCTCAAAGCTATTCCTCATATGACGTCACAGAGTCGCTACCAGCCTGATTGGTTGAAATTTCGCTCATGGGTGAGTATTGTGCACTGTTGTCAAAAAGGTCGATTTAAGTCAATTAAAGGTCGAAATGAGTAGTTTTAATGACGAGGTTTCATTTATAACGATGCCAGGTAGTGATTTATGTATTTTACCCCTAGGGTTTATGTGACCTTTAAATTTCTTGGTAGGTAAAAATCTTCTAGTACCTTCCGTTGTAATTGTTTGTATTTTCATGAAACACCAATGACTAGTCATGTTAACTTTTCCCTATGTTTCAGGTGAATTCTTTTTCATATCTCTTCCACTGCAGCCCAAAGTCTCAAACATGTCACATTAACACACAGTAGTCTACATAACTATTACGTAAGTGAAACAATGCACCATTTTTATGTCATTCGTTGATGCTGACATTAGATCAGTACATCAAGATGTGTAAAGCAATACTGAAAGGACATTTTGGGCAATTACGGTATTACTTTCAGGATTTCCTTAAGACCAAGAAAAAGAAAACAGCAGAGAGTGAGTGAGTGATGGAGTGAGAGAGTGAGTGAGTATGGTTTTTATGCCGCCTTTAGCAAAATTCCAGCAATATCACGTCGGAGGAACACCAGAAATGCGATTCACACATTGTACCCATGTGGGGAATCGAACCCGGTCTTCGGCGTGGCACGAGCGAACGCTTTAACCACTAGGCTACCCCACCACCCAAAAAAACAGCAGAGTGGGAGTAAACCAAGAATGTTGTGAAGGATTCCAACAAAAATGAGCTGCTTTGCAACACCAAGCAATGCAGTTTCTGCAACCTCCCATTTAGCCGTTAGAATCAGCTATGGACCTATACATGCACACCTCCAGCCTCACATTATTTGTGGGTGATAGAAGCAATTTATACCTCAACATGATAGGAAAAGGTAATACTGAACATCTTCTGGCTTTTTTGGTTTTGTTATTTTCATATAAAATTTGAGAGAAGCCAAAAGTTTCAGCTGAGGACCTGGGTCTGGTTGCTGCTTGAGAACAATCTGGATTACCAATTGTCATCATATTGATCTGGCCAGCTTCATGTAGCTTCCACTGCTTTATGTAGCTCCTGACAGCTCCCTCCCAACATGACCGGCCAGACAACCAAGTGGGGCTCTCTCTCCCTCCCAACATGACCAGCCAGACAACCAAGAGGGGCTCTCTCCCTCCCAACATGACCAACCAGACAACCAAGTGGGGCTCTCTCTCCCTCCCAACATGACCGGCCAGACAACAAGTGGGGCTCTCTCCCTCCCAACATGACCGGCCAGACAACCAAGTGGGGCTCTCTCCCTCCCAACATGACCGGCCAGACAACCAAGTGGGGCTCTCTCCCTCCCAACATGACCGGCCAGACAACCAAGTGGGGGCTCTCCCTCCTCCGGCCAGACAACCAAGTGGGGCTCTCTCCCTCCCAACATGACCGGCCAGACAACCAAGTGGGGACATGACCCAGCCGCTGAACAGCCAAGTGGGGCTCTCCCTCCCAACATGACCGGCCAGACAACCAAGTGGGGCTCTCTCCCTCCCAACATGACTGGCCAGACAACCAAGTGGGGCTCTCTCCCTCCCAACATGACCGGCCAGACAACCAAGTGGGGCTCTCTCCTCCCAACATGACCGCCCAGACAACCAAGTGGGGCTCTCTCCCTCCCAACATGACCGGCCAGACAACCAAGTGGGGCTCTCTCCCTCCCAACATGACCGGCCAGACAACCAAGTGGGGCTCTCTCCTCCCCCAACATGACCAGCCAGACAACCAAGTGGGGCTCTCTCCCTCCCAACATGACCAACCAGACAACCAAGTGGGGCTCTCTCCCTCCCAACATGACCGGCCAGACAACCAAGTGGGGTTCTCTCAGGCAGGGTTGTCCTCCCCTTCAAGTTATACATACAATAGGTAAATTTGACTTATTCAGCATTATATCAATTTACTGCTTTTCAGAATATTTTTCAATATTTTTGGAATGGCAAAAAGAGTCTTGCCTACTCCAGGTTGGAATAAAGTAACATCATGTAGGTTATATGTTGGGCCAAGAAGATACTGCAGTAGAA